GAGTGATGTTTCTGCTTTGTATCCAGTTTGCATACTTGATGTTTCTTTTTACTTTTGCAAGTTACTTTCTTTTTATTTTTTGTATTCCAATTATAATCACTTTCCTGTTTCTTGGAGCATCTGCGCAAGCTAACTTTCATGGTAATGGCGCGATCAAGCTTTGTTGAATTATACATGAACTTCTCCATTCCTTGGCAGAACGGACAGCTTGCGGGGAAATGTCAACTTCAGTGGATATATTTTTCAGAACCAGAATAAAGTAAAGCAAAACGCAAGATCGATTCGTGGCATCCTAACCATTTTCTTCTTCATTGATTTTCTTTGAGCTTGATTGATGCAAGTTCAGCATTCACAGTGTTTCATAGTTCTGTGAATTACAAATAGTCTTAATTAATCACAGTTATAGATAGATCAACCATTGCAGTTCAACTCTCCGCCTTTATTGGACATACATAATATAATTAAGGGAGATTACATGAACTGAAAACATATAAATAATAAGCTCATCCTCTTCAACCTAGACCAAGAGGAAACTAACTTCGGCCTTGCCCAGACAAGAAGAAAGTAAAGAGTAAACAAAGCTAGGAGGGAACAGAAAAAACTGTTATTTGAGCTTTGTTAATTAGTGGACGTACGTAGGTACGTCTTGAAATTATTATTATTATTATTATTATAAGAGATATAATAATATAATGTGTATTATTTTAATTGTAGATAGATGAGGAATTTGTAGGAAAATGTTATTCAGGTTCTGTTCCAAACCCAAATAGCGTTGGCCCTTATGAGCCGTGGGACAAGCTGGTTTTGGACTTGGAGGCTCATGACCTGATCAGCTCCACCAATGAACTGCTGCCCTATGAAAACAGCCGGCACACTTGGTTGGCATTGGAAGTGCTGAACCAGTGCCCTTTCAATAGCCTGCCCATTTGCAACTTCATCCAGCTCGTACACTGTAGGGTTTGCCCCATAGCTAGATATCAGTGACTTGATGGTGTGGCTCATGTAGCTAGAGCTCTTGCTGAAGACTTATCGTATCCATTAGCTAGTCGGAGCCTGGAACAATGCGGATTAAAAGCTTTGTGAATTGTGAATTTATTGGAGCTTGCTTGCTAATAGCTAGGTATAGCTTGTTGCTGTGAGGAACTTAGATCTCTCATGTTGGTCTCTTTATAGTGTGCATGTGTTGCATTGTAACGAATAAAATATTAGATCACCAGAAAAAGTCATCGATCGGATTCTCATATCATCACGCTTTATCTTTAAGCATGATTAGTCGATAAAGACAGACCAACTTTGGCTCTCTCTGCAAATGGTTAGCTCCAAAATATGACCAACCCGATTTTGGCACTCGTTCTTTAGTTATATGCACTTCAAACAGAATATTTTACAACTCACGTGAGGACTGCAAATAGCGCTAAGTGTTAAAATCACTGGCCTTGAATAAAGCTAGGGTGTGATTGGAGGATGTCACTGTAGACCCAAAGGATTGGCATATTCACCACCTGCAGGTAGAAACAGTGGAAATGATGCCATGCCAATATATTTTAGACATATATAAATTAAAGAACACCTGCTAATGGTTGAGAGTGTTTGTCATGTGGAAAAGTTAAGGGACATAGGCTAGGTTTATAAGGGGTTGGGCTACTCCCCCATCGCTAATTGATTTTGGGGTAGTATCTTAATTTCCTTCATGGTATCAGATCAAGGCTTCACGTGTTAGGCCCAACGGCCACACGTATTCCCACGTTACCGAATATGTGTTGTCCACGTATTAGGTTTGAAAGCTCGCCATACGTACAGAGGTGTGTTAAGACTAGTGTTTAGGAGCATCTGCTCTATATTCTGCTAAGGTGGAGACATAAGATGAGTTTATCTAAAAGGGGCAAAGATTCCCATCCACTTCAGTTGAACCAAACCGAAAGCGATCTATTGGAGAGAGAGAGAGAGCTAGAAAAAAAAGTAAAATAGACTTTGGAGGGATAACATATATGCTTAAGAAAGATTATCTGTCCCCTACTTAATCCACGTGATTACCGTACAAGTTGGAGAAGATACCTCAAGGACCCACCCCACCTCTTGATAGAATTGATAATATTCTGTGTAAATCGTAGCTAGAATTAGTAAATTAGTATATGGTTTTTGATTCAACAAATTATTAGTTTAGTGATATTTCTCTTCAAAATATTCGAACTCCGAAACATATAGTCGGTTGCTGCCCACAAATTCTGACAATTGAATATTGACCAAAAGGATTGGACATGGGTCATTAACCCTTGAAATTAAATTATAGTTTTTAGGACATCTAGTCAATCCCTAATCATTGATTAGTTTCCAGTTAAGACCTTTGCACCTTTTGTAGAACAGTCCAATGAACAGAAGATAAAATAAAACTTTGAGGATCGATTCTTATTGCAAATGTCACTTAATTATATTAGCATATATACAAACATAGGCCAGTCGCATTCATAGGTAGGAAACTATAGTTCAAGTGATTTGCTATCAATATCATAATTAAGTTGCTGCCAGTGATGGATATGGATAAGAAATTCCTTATACGTACAAGTTCAGATTTTTTTATATATTCCCGATGTCAACATTTTAATAATCAGTTAATACTTAGTTCATTATCAACAGTCAATGTAGAATTGATTTTGTTTGATCTTGATTCTGATTGATTTGGATTTCAAGAGCATATATGTCCATGCTTGCATGTGAATGAAAGAAAAGGACTAGCTAAGTTTTTTTATTTATTTAATTTTTAATTTTTAAAGTTTGATTTGTCTGCAGGTACGATTTTAGATGAACCGCAACATCATGATGATGAACCTGATACCTGAGCTCATTTTGCAGTGATAAATTAAGTAATCAAATCATCATATATATTCTTGCTTTCTAATCCACGTACGAATTAATATTCTTGTGATTTTGAGTGACATACCATAATATATTGTATGCACCAACATTTTCGTTTCATGTTGATAAGTAAACTTCTGCTTAGGGCCCGTTTGATAACCGCTTGCAAAAATTTACTAATCAAACATTTTCTTTTGTACAGAAAGCTTTTCCAGGAGAATAAGCTTAAGCTAGCTCCATTTCAAATTCATACGGAGGATGTATAGAATGTCAATTTTCTTTGGGTAAGTGGGGACTGTATCTATATTTTTGTGGACAACATATGTCTGGAGAGAGAGAATACAACATGTATACATATATATAAGATTGCAAGGTCGACGGTTCCTGGCATCACACAAACGTTCTGAGACTGCAGCCTATAAAACTTATACATCTAGATTTATTAGGTTCACATTTAAATAATATTCCATGAGGTGGAAAATCTTTTCTTCTTTTGGTCCAACAGATGGAAAATCTATCTTGTTTTTTGCAACACACTAGCTATCAAAGACAAAATCAAAGTTTAGGACAATTCCAAAGGTGGATGGAGGGAGGGCATCTTTGTATGCGTAAAGCTTTAATAAGTTGTTCTTTTCGTCTTTCCCTTGTCATCACGTGGGTTGCCTTGCTATTCCATATTTTCTTGTCCTTCTCGCGTAATGTGATCATATCCTTGGGGCCTCTCTCATGCAACGCGTGTTTATCAGATTATTGAGAAATTTCCGTGTATTACTCGAATATAGACACGTGGTATAATTGTACACAATGACCTAATTATAATATAAGTATATATTTATTATACTGTAACACATATAAACTCACTGTCTAACCATATTATAACATGTAAAGACATAGTCGTATTACATGATCATATTGTGTATTGGTACCATTGCGGGCTTTACTTATGTTATATGAACATACTGTATAAATATGATCAACTGGGATTGTACAAGTAGTTTTATTTTGTGGGGGTAATACTATACTTACTTATCACATTTTAATACCATCTCACATGGCAGTTGAGGTGGACATCCAACCTATTAAAATTATATATATATATATATATATATTTTTTTTTTGACATATCAATTTCTTTCTTATTTTCATTAATTAAAAAATAACCCTACTGGATTAGAGACTCTTCAGTTTTCACGTTGTCTGTCGACCTCCACCAATTCCATCTCTCCCTCCTTCCTCTCCTCCCCACCGTCGGCACTCTACTGAACCTATGCAGCATATCCATCCTCTTCGCTGCCGCAAGACTCCCTCCTACTTGGCTTTTTGGTCAGTACACATGTAATAACAACTGCATATCTGCTTTATCAAAACCCATATCATGATCAACATCATCGTGGTATAATGGTCCTTCTATGAGAGGTTATGAAGGTGGTCGGGGCTGATGATGCAAGGAGAGTGTTATGACCCCTCAACTGCCATTGACCATAGACTGTAGACATCATCTCAAAGGTGGACTAACCAAAAATTAAAGGAGGAGGGAGGGAAGCGGTGGCGGATCGACGGCAAAGATCTGGCGAAGCTTCGATGATGGGTAGAAGGGAGAGGAGAGGAAGAGGGAGAAAGGGAATTTGGGGACATCAACAGATAATGTGAAAACTGAAAAGTCTCTAGGGTTAAGTTTTTTTAATTTTTTTAATTAATGAAAATTATAAGAAACTGATATCTTTAAAAAAAATATATATAATTTTAATGAGTTGGATGTCCACCTCAACTGCCACGTGAGATGGTATTTAAAATGTGCTATAATTATGTAGTAAGCATAGCATTACTACTCTTTATTTTGAATACAAGTCATAGTTTAAATCATAAGAGTGAGGGAGTTTCTCACAATATACAAAGGTACCAAGGAAGTTTGAACTTGAGATCACGGATCTCCAAATCAGGGCCCTTTTCCACTATGTCTAGACCCCATTGGCTTACTTACTTGTAAGTTATATAGATAATCGTATGTATCCGATCTTTACATTACTTATGGTTTATATATTCGATGAAGCCTCTGTAAATACTCTACATATACATATATATATATAAATATAATTCATCAAAACATGACAGTACGTACGTAGTTCTCATTTAGTTAGTAACTGATGCAAATCGAAGTACAAAAAGATATGGACCGAGCCTCCTATATTGGATAGAGGCCGGCCATTTTATCAGTACATCTGCTGGGTGTGCATAGTAAGTCTATGCTACTAATCATCATCGATCGTTCCAAATCCAAATAGCTTTAGCTCTCATGAGCAAAGGGACAAGCCTGTTCTGTACATGGAGACTCATGACTGTGTTCGTACCTCCCACCAACTCTTGGCCTATGAACACAGCTGGTACACTTGGCCTGCAACCCCGCTGCAGCAGCGCCCTTTCGATTTGCTGCCCGTTCGGCATTTGATCCAGCTCGTAAACTGTAGGGTTTGCCCCAAACCCACGTAGGAATGACTTTGTTGAGTGACTCATGCAACATGAACTCTTGCTGAAGATCACCAATGGCTTCTCATCCACCAATCCTGCCACCATGTCCATCTCTCTTCGATCGCTTCGATCTCTTGCTACCTGCCTTTTTAATTGGAGAATTGACTTGAGGTTTCGCTTGATGAGGAACTTGAGATCCATTATGGGTCTATTTATACTGGTTCATATCATTGTTCAGTGCGGTGGGGGATTGCAATGTTTAAAACTTTGATCGACATAGAATATAGAAGCTTTTAGCTAGCTAGTGATTATGTAATTCGATTCCCAAATTACCCTTTATGCATGCATGATTTACTTGGTTCTGTGCAGGACATGATCAACTGAACACTTCGCACGTTTATATGAAATTAGGTATGTGCAGGCATATGTATCTGCCCAGCATTTTGGCAAGGTTGAGGTGAAACTTGTCATTGTGAAAGGGCCATGCATATGGAATAAACAAGTTGCATATACATATACTTACGTGCAAATTGTGACAGCATTGTGGGATCTCTGAGTTCCCAAGTTACCCTTAACGTACCAAACAATCTATAGCCGCAATATATACATTGTCCTTTGCAAGCACCAGATTCATATGTTTTGCATGCATTTTATCCCTAACCAAATTAATATTCATTACAAAAATAAACTTAATTACTGGCTCAGGTTTAGTTTGATATTGTAAGTAATTAATGTCAATGTGTGCAAGGGGTTTATTTTATTTAATTATTTTGAGTACGAGCGGTAGTCTAAACTATAGGGAAGAGAGATTTCTCACACATAAAACTATGGGATTCGAACATGAGACCTCTTGTCTGCAAGTCAATGCCATTTTCCACTGGCGGGGTTTATTTGTTATTGTTATTGCTAAGATATATATGAACGCAACGCAGGAGTTTAGTTTAGGGAAAGTAACCTAAAGGGTATTTTGGTATTTATCCAGTACAACCCAGGTCTCATCATCTATTCTGGAGCATCTAGGTATAGTTTATAGTGGAGAAGAAGTTGGGTTTATGGAATGAGTAGGATAACAAGATTCGTGTACGTCCTCTTCAAGTTCAATTGAAGAGATCCGAAAGCGTGAATATAAAGTCAAGAGAAAGGAAGAAACAATAATTTACGTACATACATAGTTAAGATTCTGATTAAAGGTAAGTTAACAGTTAACTTGCCCCTTGGCAGCATGAAAATCCACCCAAAAATAAAACATTAAAAAGAAACTAAGATCCAAATTATTCAGGTCCAACTTGAACTTGCTAGGCTATGTATCAAGATTTCAATGGTTTCTTTTGGAACAATAATATTAGATTTGTAGTTTGTCAAATTTATATATATGTCATCAATCATCTTGGTTCCAATTCGATTCGATCTATATAAAAAAAACCAATTATCTCGTGTGCCAATTACATTAAATATGTTTGGCCCGGTTTGATTAGAGGAGCATGAGGTTCCAAAAGAAGATTGCTTTCACAAAAGCTCTTTCCTTAGCTATATATGGATATTATTTCTTCTGCAACTAGCCAGTTACACACTGACAAAACAATAGAAAAGGATTTGCTTTGGGTATATTCGCCACCTCACCAAAATGATCTCAGCTATCCATCCCATTTGATTTCATTGCCAATGCATAAAGTTTGTCAACCCTAAACGTCAAGATTATGCATGCATATGCAGAAAAGAAAGAAGGATAATCTAGAACATAAATTATGGATAATGTTATAATATATGTTTGAGTTTGAGTTTGACAATAAAAGTAGTACGAGTGGACACGGTTGGGGATATGTAGAATTTAACAAATGCGATAGCATCCCGAATGGATTAGATAAAGATTAAAGAGTGCTTGCTTGCTGCTACTTGTTTAGAGTAGAATTCTGCCCTTTTTTGCAACTCCATCTGCTTTCTTTTAATATATATTATAGTTTGCTTACTAATCCAGAAAAGAAAGAAGATATTTCATCATCAACTAGGTTTTGACTTTAGAGGACTGAGGTGGGCGGTTGTCACTTTGCATATGCTATATGCTACGGGTCCATTTGATAATCATTTTCAATTTTAGTTTTTAGTTTTTATTTTTCATTTTTTATGCTAGAGTATAGAGGAAAATTAGAGTGAGAATGAAAGTATGAGATTGAGTGAGAGGATGAGAGGGCGGGGTAACAAAAGTGAAAACAAAAACTTGAAAGTGAAAAAAATTTCAAATAGATTTTTTGTTTTCACTTTTATTACTCCTCCCTCTCAATCCCATCTTCACTCTCATTCTCCCTTTTTTCCCTTTGTACTCTAGTAAAAAATGAAAACTAAAAACTAAAAACAAAATAGTTCTCAAACGGGACCTACAATTTTAGTGATTTTCCAAATTTTCTTTTGGTCAAAATTAGTGCTTGTTGCCAAGCCCTTGACGCCCAAGCGATGAGAGAATGTGGGGCAAGGATTAGGATTTGTTCAGGTTTTGCTTCCCTTCAATGTAACCAAATAATACATATTCTTAGTACTTACAAGTAAATGTATTGGTCCAAAAACAGATTTAAGAAATAAGGGAAGAATAAAGAGTAACTAACTCGTTTTGCATGCAACGCATCAATGGACTTCTCAGATGGATAAAAAATGGATGTGGCATGTGAGAATCTCTGGCACTGGGCCTCTTAGGAACCTACAACTTGTGGCCAATTATGTATTCACGCCGGGTACTCAAGTTTCGACATAAACGGCCAGAGAGAAGTCAGAAGAGACACAAATTTGACTACAAAACTTAGTCCAGAAGATGTAGAAAACTTTAAGGAAAACCAATCTGAATATAACCACTGTCTACTGTAGTATCAATAATTAGTTTAGAGCTCAAAAAGTGCTTGTTCACACCACAAATTACAAACCAAGTGATGAGCAAACCCAGTGTGTTTGCATTGTGGTTGCGCTGGCTATTCGATGATCATATTCGAACCACAGAATTATAGTGCTCACCAAGCCCAAATGCATGCTTATGGTATGACAACATAATACTCGAATCAGAAGAATCCGTACTGCTACTATCTGATTTGTACTCCTTGCCCATCTCCACATCAGGGAAGGATCCTGAGTATATCATGATATGCTTTTTAAGGCAGTGAGTTAAAGCACCAAGCTCTAGTTGCCCTCCCCATGCCGCTGTTGACTCTACTTCTTTACAGTAATTCTCAAACCTCTCTGCAAGTGAATCCTCAGAATCTCCATCTACTGGATTCTCTGACAAAAAAAATGGGAGAAAATCAGATGCATGCTTCCTCATATAAGCAGCCACCATTTCTCGAAGCTCTTGGTACGTGTGAGGTGATGAACCTCCGGAAAGATGGGCCAGCTGATCCTGGATAGCTCGGTAGAGGCAATGACCATCGGGCTTTATTTCATTAATGGTCAAACCAAGGGGTTCAAGCTTTTTCTCTAGCTTCTCATTCTCAATCATTCGATCACTTACAAGGTTGCTCTGCTCTTCTTGAATTCTTTGCTCCCTAGCTGCATCTTGCTGAGCTCTTTTCTCCCGCCTCTTTGAACTCTTGCTGGGCTTTGCTTGGTCAGGTTGACCGGTGACAGAAACACCAGCTATGGCTTTCACTAAATTGTCAAGTTTTGCTTTCTCAGTTCCATTACTGGTGCTATAGCCTAATGAAGCAAGTTCTTCAGCATGTTTTTCTTTAAGCTTAGCAGAAAGCCGAGAAATCTCTTCCTCCACCTGCTTTTTCTTAGCTTTTTGTTCGGCCTTGCTACCTTTGGCAGCTGCCTTCTTCATTTCAATTTCCTTGTCCTGAAGTTTTGATATCTCTTTCCTGTATAAACAGACATGTCAAAGGGGAATACCAGAATTATCTATGGGAAACTTAACAAAGTCGACCTAACCAATTTTTAAGACAACAGCCTCAATGAACCTATAATAAGTCGTCATTCTTATTATATCAACCACTTCTTGGAGAACATGAAAACGCATCATCAACACAATTTCATCAATTCAAATATACTGAAGATAAACCTTCGTATTAGTCAACCACAAGTGCGTTTGACTACCATACACATGTAAATAACAGATCGTATTTGCATTACCAATGTAACTACCAGCCAAATACAACATCATAAGAATATCTAAAAGAAAACAAGTGATAAAAATGCAGACTTGATGAGCAAATCACCTGTGCCTCGAAAGCATTTCATCACGAGTTTCCTGTGTATTTTCAGATGATTTGTCTGACATTGTTTCAGATACTTCATGGGCATCCTCCATTTGAGCAATCCTGAAAGCCACTTTGAACAATAATAGTATTATCCATCAAGAAGATCATAAAGTTTCAAACTTTTCTAAACCCAGGACTAACCCAACATCTAATAAAAGCAGAAAGTAAGAAATTTTCATGACTAAACCAAATCCAAACATGAAACATAACACCACCATATACAAGGAACTTCACTTAAAGTCCAGGGGATACAATAAACAACTTAAAATATACTAACCCAAACTGAGATAATCAAATTCCACACCCATGGAACCTGTAAGTCTAATCAAGTGCAATCCAACCATTTGACAATTAAAACTCTGTTTCGGTTCAAGGATTTGAACCAACGGTTTGGGTGCTTGAATATCATGCTGAGACAATGAACTTGAAATTCCAAATTTATTTTAGCTGATAGGTAGAACGAAATCTACTTACCCGAGAGTCCTTCTTTCAACCTCGATGCCGACCGACCGAAAACTGAAGCGTCCAAATTTATCGTTATCACTGCAAAGCCCTAACCCTAGGGTCGAATTCCGATTACACACTCTCCGCAAAGCCTAATTGAGGTTGGGAAGAGCCAAAGGAAATTTCTTTTTAAATATTATTATATATAAGGAAACATTCGACTATTAATTCGAGGGTTTTGTATTAGAATATAAAGTTTTTAAATGGGAAGGCGCGAATGTAACGCTATCATCAATTTTTTCTCTATTGTGCTATAGGTTAGCATGGTAAGTCACCTGTTAGATTAAGTCATGTGTCCTAGGTTTTGATTTATAATTAGGATTTTGTAATACATAAATGTATTTTAATGATAAGTGTCACGTAACATGTAAGTTCTTACTTAAGTTTTTCTCGTATGAACATTGTGTGCAAACTCACTCATAATGTTGTTAATTTTTTTAGTAAAAAATATATTTTTCAATCTCGACACACAAAGATATTATTAAAATAATTTTGATGAAATTTATAACTATCTTTCAATTATTTTATTAATTTAATCGAATGATTATGTTAAGAGATCACAAATGTTAGAGAATATTTGGGTAAGTAAGATCTTGTAGCACCGGCAGAGGAACACATAGAACCTATTAGATTTGCTTGGGTTTAACGCATATAATCTGAATTTTTTGAGGCATATTTTCCCGTTATGGAGAAAAGTAAAAATTCTCAAGCAAAGGGATAAAAAGAAAAGTAAAAGAGAATCAAGTCTCAACAAGCTATGGGGCCCAAAATGTCCCTCTATTGTTCATTATCTAGCCCATCCTACACAGCACAATTTAAGCAGGAAGTGGATCCAATGGGTTGAAGCCCACCCACTCCCCAACCCAACCAAATCCCACAAATGCCCCTGAGTCATTTTATAGTGAGGGCCTTATATATGACATTTAGGTGAGGTCCTATCTTTTAACTGTTGAATCAAGCTAACCAATTTGATCTAACGATAATCAATTTATTCTGACGATTAAGAGATAAGACCTCACCTAAATGCCATATATAAGACCCTCATTATAGAAATCTTGAAATGCCCCCACCCTCATCTAGGAAAAATACTTCTCTAACCTGTTTCATTAAAGCGATTCTCGCAACAACACTCAAACCTTGCAGGACAAGGCTTGAGTCCAAAAAGCAGCTTCTAGAGGACTTGTGAAGCCTAGGCAGGCCATTCTTCTTCACTTTCAACACAAAATCCTCATATAATTTCTTCTCCTTCTATTATTTTTTATTTTCTACACAAAATTTTCAACACATTCCATACATCAAACAAAATATAATCAAAAGAAAAAACCACAACCAGAGCATAACTAAAAATAAAACATAAACAAAGTATAAATAAATAAAACAAAAAATAAACAGTATTTGCCTTTTATCATGACAAATGGGCGGAATTGTTGTTAACCTCTCCTTTTCTATCTATCTGAGGAGAGGAGAGGGGTGGCCAGAGGGGACAATGAAACGGCAAGTTATCCAATCGTAAATGGCTTGTCAATGTTGTGATGCGTGTCGACTGATGAGGACAATGCTAAATTGTCAATGTGATACATGATGATGATGATGAATGGCTTTATTTTTATTCTTTTGATTGAGATGGGTATATGGAGACACGTGCCATATTCCGGATTTTAATATTAGGATTCTTTGCCAATAGAGAAGAAGATCATGCAGAACAATCAAGAAGATGCATTTATTCCCAATCTTCAGTGTCATGGAATGAAGACTTATTTTTTGTCCCTGGAATTTCTGGGATGGGATTGCTTGCAGGGATGTTTACTCAATGACACATAAAGGAATATTAATAGCTTAGGTATCAAAATATAGATCATAAATATGCATGTGAATTTGATGGAGGGACCATATCAGAAAGAAAGTGAAATTCAATTGGATAAACTCTATCCCTTCTCCACATCAGCCACATACTGCAACATGCAATGCAATCCGAACAAAAACCAGATTGATTAACCAGCTTTATCTCTGCATTTTCCCCCTCTTCTTAGATTTGGGTTTGGGTTTATGGGTGGTGTACGTTTTGTCTCTGTACACAATGCCAAAGTGGGGTCGAAAATTCCTAGCTAGCTAGTCTCTGACTTTGTAAAAACAAATGCAAAGGAAAACGCTAGGGATAAAGTTCATTCTTGTTGTCCCCCTCTTCCCTAAAGAGTTAATTTGCAACCAACCAAGAAATAATATTAATATGAATTAGTATATCTAGATGCGACCATCCAAGAATTAATATTAATTAGTATATCTTGATGCAACCAACCAGGGCCGAAAGTGTGTGTTGGTGGTCAATATATAAACATATATGTGTGATTCTTATTCTCAACACTGTTCATAGTACGGACATTCCAGCAGATCTCAAAATAGACTGAAAATTATCATTACTCTGTGTCTGTGTCTGTGTGTGTGATTATATATATATATATATATATATATTATATTGTATATATGCTGCATGCAATTTGTGCATAGCATATAGCAGAGTCGCCATCATGCAAATCATCAGGGGCATTTTTCTTATCCAAACAAATATCTAAAGCAGCTACTACTTTCTCTTTCTTATCCATTTTATGGTTCTTAATTGTTTCTCTCCTTTTTTCTCTCAAGATTAAACAATGCCATCCAACAGCCTCTCCAGCCTTTATAAATAGGCTGATCAATCCCAAACTACACCAAGCAAACCCCAAACCAATTAGCCATTAAGCTCTTAGTACATCTGCTTTTGCTGCTCTTGCATATAGCATTTCCCATCACAAACAAATCTTTAATTAGAGTTTCTGCTTCTGGGTTTTGATTTGCAGAAGTGATCAGCATTGCTAGTGATTTCTCTGCCCTTTATAGTGTTTGCATTAGTCAGTATACTTTGTTTTCTCTAGAGAAATGGAGAGTGTAAGAGAGTTGGCTTCAGAGAAGGCTGCTGTGATTTTCACAAAGAGCTCATGCTGCATATGCCACAGTGTGAAATCACTTTTCTATGAGCTTGGTGCAAGCCCTGCGATTCACGAGCTCGATCGATATGCCAATGGGAGGGACATGGAGTGGGCATTGAGGCAGCTGGGCTGCAACCCTGCTCTCCCTGCTGTGTTCATAGGTGGGAAATATGTAGGCTCATCAAAGGATATCATATCCTATCATGTTGATGGATCTCTAAAACAAATGCTCAAGGATGCAAAAGCCATCTGGTTCTAGCTAGGCTGCTAGCTAGCAGCTTACACCTATTACACAGAAATTAAGCTATGCTAGTTAATGCTCTGTTAATTAGCTCTAAGTATACACAGAAAAGAATCCCAATACCATGCTTCAAGAAAAATGAGTATTGAGGTATATTTTCCATTTTTCTTTTTCTACTATGTATGTTACTTCCCTGGCTGCATTCTATGTATGTGAAATGAAGTCAGATCATATGAAAAGTATATCCTGGAGAGTTCTGAAACTTTTCTCCATCAAAACATCTTCTACTTTTACATTACAAGTAATTGGACACTGCAATTTTCCCTATCTGTCAAACCTGCAATGGATCTAACTACATTGACCTATTTATGTATTTGGAATCCCAACTTAGGTGGCAACTGATATGCACCCCACATCGTTATCCAATGCGAGAATGCCACCTAGGTTGGGAAAGAAAATTGGGAGAATGCCACCTATAAAATTTCATGATAAGACTGACTAACTAAACTGCAGCAGGTTTTTCATTTGTTCACAAAAGATTGTTTCCATGCTAAGCTAGATTAAAATTTTATAATAAAATTAAGTTTCAACCAAGCATAACAGTAACCTTTTATCATGATCAAGATTTCTGATCATCTGAGATTTTCCAATACAAAAAACATATCCCCTAGATTAGGTGGGTCCCTGGTTGAAAAACTGAGAATCGCATTTGCCTATGAAATGTAAAAGGCTATAAAGTTTTTTCTGTTATTATGTGAGTTTGTATATGCATGGAAGATAAGAATCTTTTCTTTGCATATATAATTAATGGTTGGGTGGTTCTCAGCATTCTGACGGTTGGGGCTCTCTCCCTTGAATTCCCCAGAGACTACATGCCAAGTGAATTTTATGGGAAGCCATGTGCATGACAGCTACTGAGGGATCAGAGACAATGAAGCTTTGATGCCTTTAGGCTTCTATAGCTAACCTTTTTTGGGCCGTGTATTCCTCCAAATCCAAAAGGCCAAAATGTTCTTCCATATGTACCCTTCATCTATATAAAGAATAAGCAATTTAATAAATCAGAATCTCTGCAGGAGTATCTGATATGAACATCAAAAGAATTTAGATTTTCACTGATATGTTATATATGCTGATTGATGACTCATTATACTCTAAAAAGGCTTGCTCCAAGAATAGGAATATCTGGCCTCTTCATTTATACAGAAAAGAGTTGCTCTTCTAAAACGTATGGTGATCATTTCCATATGCCTATCCACATACATGTGGAGCATGGAAAAGTTTGGAAACTTAACAGTCTGTATGAACAATATCTAAGCTAGCTCTCTCACGTACGTGCGTGCCACATGTACGTGTCACGTGTGAAAAGGAATCGTTCAAGTTGGTGGACGCAACACAACAGAATCGCAGCCACCGAAAGCCATCTATCTCATTCCCCATTTTTCTGCTCAAGGATTCAAGGAAGGTGATTTAGGGAATCTGGTATAAATTGATCCCAGCTGCCTTATGGAATAACTTTCTACAATTTTGTTGTGTCTAGACAGAGAGTATATTTATATTTGGTGTTTGTTTCCATTAAATTTGTATAACCTGAAGAAATGGTGCATAGGCGATACACGTAGGTCGCATATAAATTACACCACTCAATATATATGCAGTCATGTACCTGAGAGATATTAATTCACTTCAGCTAAGCATGTACTGCATGCAGTAAATACATCTGCCAAGCAACTTGTTCAGTCTAATAGATGTTTGGAGTCTTTATCTTAAAAAGTAGCTTTTCTTTGTTTGGGCATCTAAATAAAGACCATCCTCTTTTGAATTTTCTTGTTCAAAGAAAAGCAGTCCACCCTGCTAATGCTGTCCCTATAAATAGTCCAGCAATTGAGAGCTCAAATATTCAAACAACCTTA